TAAAGGTGCAAACATTTCTTAGAGTAGTCATTACCTACGTCACCACGGCTATGACGTAAAAGTCACACTACCTTCAGGAACATATTGACGTGACGTAAATAACGTGACGTGTGATATGTGACGTAAAGACGTATATAATGTTTATATTAGTTAAAACTTTTTTTTTTGTCTCTTTTTTATTAAGTGTAAGAAAAAAAAACAAAATCATAAATAAATGCAAAATAGAAAAAAAGGTAAACTTTTTTATAAGACTTCTGTTTCTATGATCGCAACTAATTTTTAAAGCATTCTATCTCCATAAGCAAAAATATCTAGGGTAGAGATCCATGGTGAGAACGCATTAATTAAAACGGTGAACAAACAAAATCTTAATCTTGACACTTACCTTTTCCGGAAAATACGTGACAAACCTATGCCAAATGGTGTTAGATTTCGATTTGCAGGATAACAGAACTAACTCCGATGGTCACCATAAACTTACCTTCGTCCACAAAGACATGCTGCAGGAATTAACGGAAACTCTCGTCAACCTCGTGAACCAGAATGCAAGGATTAAGACCCGCAGACTCAAGGGAGAGAGAGGGAAAGACCCCGTATTCATGGTTAGAGTCGTACGAGAGAGTTGTAAAAACCAGCGGCTGGGCGAGCAACGAAAAATTAGATCGGGTATCTTATTACCTGGAGGAACGTGCGGCGGACTGGTACGAAGTCTGCAAGATCGTTTCTACTATTGAAATATTAGGAGCGAGCGCAAGATAAGATTTGTGCCAAGTTTCCTCCGATTCTTTGTGATGCTCGAGCAATGACGACAATGGCAATCGAAGTTGGAGAGCCTAAAGCAAGAAAAGGACGAGAAAGTGGCATCGTAACGCTTGTAAATTCCAGGATCCACTGAGAAGAGCCGACCCCGACGACAACACATCTGAGAAGAGCAAAGTTAGGTTGTTCGTGAAGGGGCTGAGAAAGAGGATCGCATCAATACTCACCATTAGGAGTGATGCCATGCTGGACGAAGCAATGAAGAAAGTGAGCCTTATTGAGGGGAATGTGGAGTTTGGTCTACCGGATAGGGAACCAAGGAAAACAATAAAGTTAGGTGACGAGATCCAAGAACCAACCCGACGAATTCGAGAAATGCAACAAACTTCTGGGAGTATCGCGGATGGACCAGAAGTGTCAACGAATAAAAATATCCTAAGAGGGGTAAAGGTTGAAACTCAAGAACCGCGATCGGACGACGAAAACTCCATCGCATATCTCCCCCGGAGAAGGAAACTGCCAAAGTCACCTGACGAAGGACCAAAGAAGATGAAGGAGAAATCAAAAGAGATATACAGTGAGGAAAGAACGGTGATGAAGGAAAAACGACACCATAATAGGGGAACACTGGTTGACGAACGAGAGAGGATCACAAACAAGGAACAAGCCGAACTTGGCACCTGCTAACGAAATCGATGATGTGAGAGCTAAGATCTTGGATCCTGACAGCGAACACCGATTATACATCCGGAGCCCTAATGCGTACCCACTTCAAGTAGAAAGGTTATCAACTTTAATTGAAATAAATAAACGGGTGCAAGAAAGGAAAAGAAGGTGCAATCCATTTATCGTCCACGCCGGATTCAACGCACCTAAGTTAAATGATATGAACACCATGTACGAATCGCAACCGGATGACACATACTTACCTACGAGAGAGAAACGAGAAGCCATCGCGCCATCAAGAGGGATAACGATGAAGGAAGCAATGGCGAAGGAACAAGACGATGGAGATGGGCGAAGGAAAATTCCAACTGAACGACGCGATCACATATGTACCGCCAAGAAAGAAGCCGCCGAAACCACCTGACAAAAGTTCGAGAGTAAGGAAAGAAGAACGAGAGAAGAAGGGAAAAGGAGCATTGGAGAAGGTGAAGGTGAAGGCAGATGAGAGGGAAGATTACATTACAGATGCACTGCTCGATAAGTCCAACCTCTTTACATTGGCCCGGCATGCCGCTTTAAATGCATCAAGACCGGAAGACATCATCACATCAATAGAAGAACCGACGACAACGAGTATAATGAAATCCCAACAGACGACGCGAACAGCACATACTTACCGCCGAAGCCACATGATGAAGACACGGATCAGAGGGCAACAAAGGATATCGACGATAGTAAAAGGGCAGAAGAGAAAAAAGATTACATCATGGATGAGCTAGTTATCGAACCTGTACCCATCACTATCCGATCAATCAAACTGAACCCCATCACAGATGCATCGCGATCATGATCTTGCGTTGAAGCTTGATGTTGACATATCGCCTGGAAGAAAAATCAAGGGAGTTAGAGTCCAGCTCCTCACGTGACCACGTTAATGCATCGCCATCATCAGAGATTTCCCCGTCCACCAAAGAGCATCGTTAATAGTACGAATAAGAAGGTTAGGTTTAGTCTTATGCATGGTGCGCTTAAGATAGGCGCGAGGGAATGTCGTGAACAAAATAGAGGGTGGAGTAACGTGATACGTATCACTTTACGTAATTAGTGTTGTTTGGGAGGAACGGTGGGAAATTAAGGTGTGGAAAAAATTAGAGGTGAATTTCTAGAATAATGTAGAATAATCAATCAATGTAAACATGTAAATAACAGACGCATGTATAAATACATGCGGAATTCAGGACTTTTGAAGGGAGATTAGCGATTAGCATTCAATAAATCCCTAAATTTATTATTAAGTATGACCTATTATTGATTTTGACTTTCACGTTCTAAAAAACTATTTAGTACATCATATGGATTATAATCCAGATCGGCAGGAGAGATAATTTGGACTGTTTCTAATGAATTTTCTTCGGCTGTCAAGTCAATAATCTCCTTAATTAATAAGGTTGCGGAACAATCGGATATAGTATTATCTAATGAATTCTCCTCACTAACTCTTGTTTGATCCCCTTCACAACTTATAATATTACCGATTGATGTTATATTACATGCATCTCGAAGATCAACCTCTGTTAACTCTTTACCAAACAAATTTAGCTCATGTCGAATATTCGTCATATAATAAGATCTAATTTTAGCCATTCCTTCTAATTTATATAGACCCAAGCTTGTTCGTCGTTCTCCTAGGATCCATTTTAATGTCGAGAAATTTCTTTCGCAACTTGCTTGTATAGGATTGATTGAAAAAATTCTATATGCTAATTCAGCTAAATGTCGAGGTTGGTTTTTAACGGAACTCCACCAAATTTTTGGTGTATCTATATTAGGAACATAGGGAAGATCAAATGGAGATAATCGTGCTTCAAAACGTCGCAATTGTGCGATCAACTCTTCACCTTCTGATCGAGTATGTCCAAGATTTTGCCATAATTCAAGAGATGTAAGAGCTGCTGTATGAAACCCATTATCTTTTAAGCCCTTTCCTAAAAATTAATAAAAAAATATGTTTATTTAAAAGAATTTAATCGTTTTTTTGTTTTAGTTACTTACCTCTATATTGAGGATGAATGTAATATGCCAAAATATAAAGAGGATGTAAAAATTTCTCATAACGATGATTAAAAATATGAATAGCAGGAATCTTGAAAGTATTTATATCGGGTAAATGATCAATTGCTACAGCCAATTTAATTAAATAGATAAAACAATCGGCTAGTGTTGCATCATTAGCTTCCAACATATAAGTAACTTCTTTAATAGGTTGCCACACTGAACGCACCAACCGACATGTGGTAAAAAAATCCTCATCAGAAATCAAATTACGAACTTCTTGATTAGTAATTAATTCGTTATGTTCAGAAAGTATCTAAAAATAAAACTTATTTTTAATAAAATAATTTATAATAAAATTTTTCATTAATTTATACTTACCCAATCAAATACAGGACGTGCACGAAGCATTGAATCGGTAGTCATATATAAAGATCCCCAA